CAATGTAACGGAAAAACAACTAAAGAAAAAGAAATAGTAATAATAATAAAATGTCTCCACTGTGTTGTAAGTGTGATTTATGTATGATTCTAATCGCTTTTTATAGTCAAAATCAGCAAATTTGCCGAGCTCCGCTACGGGAGCGATGACAAGTGAGGCAGGGGCGTGCCTCTGCCTCTCGTAAGCCCACATAACTGGCTGGAGCGCGGCACTAATGCAGCGCGGGCACTTATTTTGTGAGCGCGCTCAAGCCATTTACTGTGGGCTGAGTTGAGGCAGATGAGATCTGCCTCACCTCAGAATGCGTCACCCCACAGAAACTGGCTGGAAGCGTCCCTAAGCGCATGCCTGTTACCATCTCACTGTAGGTCACCAATGTAAGTTTTGTAGATCCCTTTATTACATTTATCCTCGCCATCCATAGTCTCTAAATAACTTATTTCACGTATATGATATTTAGGCTCGCTGGTATCAACGGCAATGAAAATGCACCAGGGAGGCAGCCATAACCTCTGCCCACTGAAGGGGGCACGTGAGCCCACAGGTTCTTGTTGCTACTGTAATTCTACGCAGAGACGGTAGACGTAACACACACAAACTAGACTTTTGAAACTACAGGAAGATAAGGAGGACTTTTACAAAAACGTAATAGAGATTGTTGTCCAGAAGGTAGCATGGACTTCATCTTCAAGTCAAGGTAAGACCACATTTGTAATGAAAATGGGGATTTTGGGTATCCTTTTGTTGAACGGTCTGTTTAAAATGAATCGAAGCATCAGACTAAAAGCTTTTGAAATAACCGAATATTTCGATTAAGGTCAAAATATAATATTTGTAAATCTGACTCAGTGCCTCACCAGCCAAACCTCACCGCACGTCACTGGTAGTGAATGAATGTGTATTAGGAGAGAAAGAAAGTAAAAAGGCTTGGGAAAGCAGAAGATATTTTGACTGCAAACTTTTCGACTAAAACCATCGTCACCAATAATGTATAAAATATGTGGAACATGTTGAAGTCAGTATGAAGTCCTCCATCAGACAGAAAAGAATAGGCTGAGACAGTCTGTTAATCATACACTTTGACAGTACATCTCCCCTTTAAAGCCAGTCTCCTTAACTGTTGCTGAACAGCAGACGTGCAGCCTCTAAGTTATAGAAAAGTGCTGAATGTTTCAAATGTAGCTTAGTAGTAATTTAGCATCAGGGTACAAGGCTTTGCTGTGTAACATTAAGAAAGTCAAAAGAGTCAGTCTGGATTGCAGAATGTTTTTAACACGAGGCACATCATTTCTCTTTATTCTGGAGAAAGTCTCATTTTAAAGATGCTTTTTGTTAAACCTATCCAGCAATTGTTGGTCACAAGATCTCCTAAATCAGAGAGCCGTGTCTGTTCCTATCAGTGGCGAGCCGTCAGGGCCCTCTAGGCCCTCTGTGAGGGCCTAAGATATTCCAAAAATATATATTAAAAACATTAAAAAAAATAATATTTTTTTTAAATATATATTTTTTTAATATTATTTTTTGTTATATTTTTCATTAGTTTTACCGAAAAGAACTTGATTTAATTGTATTTAAAAAACATTTCCAAAGAAATAAATCCTTCGAATCTGCCTGTTCATTCTCTGTTTGAATGTGTGGGTTACATGAAAGAAGCTCGCCTGGCCCTCTCTGCGATTCACAGAGGGCCCGCTATAGTAACTGAACGAGAGAGTAATGTCAAATGACAGTACAATTGACCAATCATATCTTCCCTCTAAATGGGTGGGTTTTATTATCGCGGACATTATGACAAATTCCGCCCGCTGTGAACTTTTCTTGTTTCCATAGCAACAACAACTTCCTGTCAACAGCGTGATCTCGCCTTCAAAATAAAAGCATGCCAAATTACACTTAAGACATACAACGGCAACGAAAGTAAGAAACACAATGCAATATCATTTTCAATGTCAAAGAACACAAATTGGGTTCACAGTGTTGTTTTGTGTGGTAGAGGGTCGCTGTCATTGATGTGTTTTTGCACCCTGGGCCGTTGTTTTGATATTCCGCTGAAGTATACGCTGTGACGTAATAACTCTT